AGACTTGCGGGCGATGGACCGGCGCACGTCACCTGGCTTGGCTTTCACCAAATTTGGACTGCCCAAGTTACAGCGAACAACAGCGGCCTTCATCATCCCGTTGCTGGAACTGAGAGCCACGACCAGCGAGCGAACGCCTCATATCACCTCGAGAAAAGATGGCAGTCAGCAACCTCTGCCGAAGGACCTCTAACTGCCACCATCACCAGGTATGCCCAAACTCGGGAGGATCTTGCTCCCAGTAACACATGTCTGGGCACACTTCAACAGTCACGTAAGCATCCACAACGTGTTCGGATGCTCGGACGCAGAGAGGCAAAGTGCGGATTCTTCAACAGAGACCATGCCACACGTGCCTTTAGCTACTCAGACCATGGAGGAGAGTGGCCTCCACATATCTTGAACGGAAATACCTCGAAAGCCCACCATCCGCCCAATAGACCATTCTGACATCCGGGCGGAACTTGCGTGTACGAGGCAAAATCACGCTTCCCCTTCCCACACAACATGTTCAACGCCATGCGCTGCGCTTGTAAACAACTCTGCATCGGCAAAAACGACGTCCTTTTAACTCTCATGAGTCACAATACAGCAGAGTTGCCTCCTTTGCAACTAGTCGTCTTCAAGCTCTGTGGTCTCTTTCGAGAGTTCCAGCATGAAGTGTGCGCTACAAGATTCGCCATGATTCATCAACCAGACTCAATTCAAACACCAACACACCCCCAGAACTTAAGATATCTTAAGATGTCACCTCCACGTGACACATCAAATTGCCCTAGCCAATTCTACTCCAGCCGCATCTTGGCCAGGCACCTTCATCAGGACGAAAGCTTTCAGACTTGCGGGCGATGGACCGGCGCCCGTCACCTGGCTTGGCTTTCACCAAATTTGGACTGCCCAAGTTACAGCGAACAACAGCGGCCTTCATCATCCCGTTGCTGGAACTCAGGGCAGTACTTTTCAAGCGAACCCTCTTATCACTTCAAGGCATGCGGCTGCAATTCAAAATTGCAATCCACGCCATTATGCGCGCTATTGTTGGCCGCAGCTGCAGCAAGCTCTGTTTAGAAGAACCGTCCTGAGATGCAGAAACTGCCCACAAGATGATATCTTTTACACATGTGGATTTGTCTTCAGTTTTCAGAAGTAAAAGCATAGGATTTGATAAAGACAGACTGTTGTGAAAGGGTTTGTCGAGCATGAGAGACTACATTAAAGCGCCTCCAGAAGGACTCAACACGGAGAACTTTCGAAACTTTCACGTAGGTCAGTCAGGAAGCCATACCCCCTGCGGCACGCGGATTGTACAGGTCTCGAGATGTACTGGTGGCCGCGGAGATGTTCAAAAGCTTTGATTCTAATCTCGGCAACCCATTCACACAAGCAATTGTGATTGTAAGCTTCCGGGAATGAATGCAACGCTGTGCATGGGATGGTCAAGTGAACATTTGAAGGTGTTCGCAAGAGCAGGAGTTGACGAATACATAGCCTCGACAGCTAGTTTGTTTTCAGCATTTGACATTGGCGAAATGAATGCGGGAAAGGCCAAAATCCTCATCGTGCAGCGCCTTGAAAACGGTCCGGCGACAACGATCTGAAGATGAAAGGCATAATTAAACAACTCAACATGCACAAAAGCTTGGATTCCATGGACTTTGTAGATTCGGATTTTCGTGAACAACATACAGAAGTGACGAATATTTCCAGAACTTCTTCAATTTTCAGAAGTCAGCTTTGGCAATACGAATTCCACGCATCAGCTCATGTCGAGGAAAAACCATTGTTGCAGAGCACGCTTCTAGGGTAGTCCGAGCCTGGCTTGGGAATAATATGTCCCCTTCTCGATTCAGGATTGTGGGCTCATCATTTGCATTTGTATGAATGGCTCTGCCTCAGCAGCTTTGACTGATAAATTCACAATTCCGGAATGGAACAAGATTCCACTTTCCAAGGTTGGAACAGCATGTTACTTGGGCACAGAACCATGCACTTTTACAATCGCACACATGCTGTATCTTGCTGGGCGAACTGTGCACGGACCTGCGTCCCACATGCTGCTGTGCATTCTCCATCCCAGCCTGGGTCAACTTAAGATTTTCTTTATAGACCTGCCCTTGAACGGCCTGACACTGCGCATGGCATATCTACCACCATGCCGCCAACTTCATAGCACGCCAATCTTTCGCCTTTCGACAAACAGTTTTTGGCTTTCAATAAACGCTGCTGCGAACACGACGCATCAGTCTGACTCAACAACAATGGACTCACCCACACTTTTCGTGTGAGGTGGAGCTACCAGTCATCTGGGTAGCAAAGGTGCAAAGCGCGAAAACGTCATTGCCATGCCCACACTAGCGACTGCGCATGTTTGATCTTTCTGGGATCGCCGAGCTAGGATTTTGTTTTGCCCACCACGCATATTACAAAATCTCATGAGCTGGAAGCCCAGACATGCCGACATGGTCCAGTGCGGACGGATGCCCATACTGGTGACAGAGAATGTGTTCTGAAATCACACCTTGCGATCCCTGCTGCGGGCATAGCCCAGAAAATGCTTGCAATTTGGTGCTCTCCCGTGGTAACGTTTAGGGGTACAGGTGGGTCCCTGCAATTTCGCATTTCAATATGATCATGATTTCATTCTGTCTTCTTGGGAGCTCCACACCATTCTTCCCTTTGGGAGCACAGCACAACCCTTTCATGGCTCAATGCCCAATTCCGTCATTTCGCGTGAGTGAGTCTCTTCTCTGAATCTTCAGATTTGGTGATTTTGTAGATGCCAGATTTTGATCAGAACACAAGACATCCTTACGCAGCAAGATGCACGGGTTAACAACATAAACCAAAAAAAGCAACTAATTCTGGGCTCTTTGCTCTTTCTATGTAAACCCTTTACTGAACATGCTTCAGATTGCTGACTTGGTCACCTTAAATTGCAGATTTGCACAAGATTTTTGTTTTTCCTGGGCTGCTGCAGTCCTCTCCCCTACCAAATATGATTTGCCTTGAAACATACAAGTCTCGGGCACATGGTTTTTCCTGTACAAGCCCCTTATAAGATTTTCTAAGGAATACTATCACGGTCTCCAGCAAAAGATGTAAGATTCTGAAAAATGGCTAGTTCTCATTGAACTGTAGCGCACATTAGCTCAGGAATTGTGTTGAGAAAAGAAAAGCCCAAGACTTGCCAATTCCTCTCTAGATTTGAAGTACTTTTAGTATTGGATTAGCACATAGAAAATACGGCGAACAGGAGCCAAGAATGTAAGAACTTCTGCTTAAGAATGCAACACATACAAAGAGACTTAGAGGGTGAATAACAAGGACCTTGGATTACAGAATTCCTCCTTTAATGTGAAGGACAATTTTCAAGGGTTTTTAGTTTAAGTCAATGTAGGAAGGGTTTTTGTGAAAAATACAAGAAGCGCAGGGCTTGCGAGATCCTTGCAATGCGTAAGTGAAGAATTCTCCTGCAAATGTGTAACCAATTTGGTAATGGTTTGATATACGGAATTTGCATGACCAAGTATTTGAGACTTATTCTCTAGAATTGAGACACATGTGGAATCTTGTGGAGTTAGAATATTTCAAATGTTATTCATGCTGAGGACAAGAAAATAGTGGAAGTATTGAGATGATTTTGATTTCTGCACAAAGCATATTGTCAGACCCCTGGGACACTAAGAATATGGAGAATGAGCGTAAGAATTTCGAATACCCTTCACCCACATTGTAGCGAATGAGATTGCGTAGCAAACATCTTCTTTCATAAACAAGGAGTGCAATAAATATGTAAAGTGCACAACAACCAACAACTCCCTGACCAAACGTCTGTTCCTACGAACAGAGTAGAATTCCCTCTTCTCCGCAATTAAGATACAAGAGAGATGCAATTGACTTGACCAGGCGTTTCTCTTGATCCAATAGGCACTCAATAGAATCAACTGGAGCTTGAGTTCTCTTGCTATGTGGCGAACGCTTCGTGCTGTTGATTAAAACACGTGTT